GTCACATTATTGTTAACCTAGAATTTTTGTGTTTTATTTGCTTTAACATGTAATCTTGGATTATATATTTTATTAGAACTGAAAATGTAATCAACGTCAGCCTTATTTGTGTACATTAATTATACATGAAGAAAGGAAGCGAGCTAAGGAAGAAATGGGAAAGAGAGTGAATAGAGAGAGAAAAGAGGAGAAACAAAGTAGTGATGATGGGATTGGAAATAGGAACAGAAGAGCAGAAACAGATAACTGAAAAGGTGACAAAATTTTTAGAAGAGAAAGTCAAAGTGGAGAGTAAAATTAAAAGCGCGTCAAAATTACAGGGAAAGCTTATGTAGTGAAATTCGAAAATAGAGAAGAAAGAATAAATGTAATGAAAAGTAAGAAGAACTTAAAAAGGGTCGTCAATTTACATAAATGATGATCTGACGAAAACGGAAAGAAAAATTCAAATCAAAATAAAAGAAAAGGCAACAAAAGTGAGAAATAAAGGAAAAATGGTTAGAATGGGATATTAAAAGTTAACTGCAGATGGCAGAAATTTTGAATGGAATGAAGAAGAGGGCAGACTCAAGAAGGTAGAAAATTTTTAGTAAAGAGCCAAAAGAAAAGGAAGAAAAGGAGGAAAAATGGAAGGAGACAAGACAAGGGAAAAGGAATAAAGGATACGGATAAAGAAATCGGAAAAAGGGAAGCTGGTACAAAATTAGGAGAAAAAGGAATGAAGGTACTGCTTTGTAATGTCTAAGGGTTGCGAAAAAAGGAAAAGGAGTTCTGGGACTACGTGGGAAAATTTTATGTTGTGGGGCTAGTAGAGACTTGGGTACAAAGAGAAAACTGGGAGAAATTTGAAGACACACTACCACAAGAATATGTGTGGGAGTGTCAAGAGACGACAAAGGAAAAGAACAAGGGGCGAGCAAGCGGAGGAATAGTAATAGGAATTCGAAAAAAATGCAAGAATTGGAGAAGAGAAGTAATAATAAAAACGGACTAATGAAGAAAGTAATACAGCTGCATAACAATCCATGGGAAATAATAATCGTTTACAGCAAGAAAATGGGGGAAACCCAGATAAACATAGAAACGAAAAGAAAAGAAAAAGGAGATGAAAAAATACTTATATAATGGGATTTAACGCAAGACTGTGCAATAAGGGGACAAGAATAATAGATAAAGAAAAGGGAGAGAAAAAAGGATCGAAAGACAAAGAAAATATTGTGGAAGATATTAAAAGAAATAGCATGGGAAATTTTGAATGGAAACAAGGAAGGAGATGAAGGAGAGTGGACTGGGGGAAAATCAATTATAGACTCTGGGATTGTCAATGAAAAGGCATGGGAAGAAATAGAGATTTGCAAAGTGGGGGAAAGGATAGAATCAGACCACATGCCACTAGACATAAAAATCAAAGGAAAATAGCAAGAGTACGAAAAACAAGACAGAAGAAACGAGAGAAAAGAAATAGAAAAAAGAATATGGGATGAAGAGGGAATTCACAGATACAGAAGTGGACTAGAAAAAAAGAAATTTGAATTATAAGAAGATATAGAAGCTATGATAGCAAAACTGATCAAGCTACGGAAAAAAGAAAGATATACATATGGCAAGGGAGGATAATGTTTGGAACGGAGAATGTAGTGAGTTGAAGAGAAAAGCAAGGGAAAAAAAGAAAATGGAAGAATAACTTGGGAATGAAAGAAGAGTACTTAAAAGCAAGAGAGAATTTTAGTAGAAAATGTGAAGAAAGAAAAAGAAAAAAATGAGAAGATGAAAAGAAGACAATAAATTCCCTGAAAACAGAAGAAGGAATATGGAGATATAAACAAGGAATGGAAAAGGAAGACTGAAGTGGGTAGGAAAATCAAAATACATGATTGGAAAAATAAATAAAGGAATCACAACGACGGAAGAAATGTGGAGAGGCTCGGAAATAACAGAAGATGAAATAGGAAGACAAATTAAAAGACTGATAAGAGGAAAGGCACCAGGAGGGGATGGAATCCAGAATGAAGCGTGGATGTTCGGGACAGAAGGAGTGAAAGGAAGGATATGGGGAGTGGTAGATTGAGTTTGGAAGGGAAAAGGGTTTCCTCGGCAGTGAAGAGAACGTATAATAATCCCATTATTTAAAAAGGGACAAAAAAGTGATGTGAAGAACTACCGAGGGATCACCCTGCTCAATACGGCGTACAAGATATATAGGGTAAAGTCAGGAGAGTTGGACCACCTTTTAAAAAACTCACTATAATTCCTTTATTTAACAACTTAAAAAAATATAAAATTTACAAGAACATAGCTGAACATTTATTCTTTAAGGTACAAGTAATTTTTTTGTTCCAACACAATATGATAATTCATAAAAAAAAAATGGTAAACGCTTGCAACGGTCCAACTATCCTGTCAAGGGTAGGACAGTCGGACCATTTTAGGTTGGCTAGATAAACCACCAAATTTTTACTTTTTCTTTTTGTTAATAGTGTTTCCACAGGTTTGACAAAGGGCCTCATAGCTCGTACATCTCTCGTGTAACCATCTTTTGCATAGTACACATTATTCAATCCAAAAAAGAAGCCAACCATATTTTGTCCGCTATAGCTAAAAATTAATAGCCATAGAGATGCAATACAAATCTCCCTTGCGTTAGTTTTTCGTGTGTAATTGCTTGGCATTTTCTAAAAAATAGAGCATAAGTCTATCTCTCTGTCACACCGTTGGCCCATCTATCCTTTTATGTTAGGACAGATGGACCACTACATTGCGGCACAACTAGGTGATAAAATCACGTAAAGTGAGGTTAAAATCAAAGACAAAGCCTCTATTAATTGCACTATCTATTACTTTTATATGCAAACTTACCAGACTTCCAACAAACGTTATGGCAAACTAAGCGGCTGAAATTTCAGGCCCGTAAGAAAATTTTAATGTTGAATAACGCAAGACAATTAATTGAAACAAAAGTATTTTCACATGTCCTGACATGAATGCAGATAAATACAACTGTAGTTCGCGGAAAATTTAAATTGTTGCAATAGGTTCAGAGTTATTGCTAATGGACCGTCTCTCCCACTGGTCCAACTCTCCTGACTTTACCCTATATATAGTATTAAGGGGCGGAGCCTAATTGCAAAATCGATGTTTCCTTATACAAACTTTCCATTTTAAAGTTACGTGTTGTGAAAATAAGTCTACACATATTAAAACAAAAAGGCCAAATGTAAGCCCGCCCACCCGCCCTATCTCTATTGTGATGATTTTTTTATTCGCCGTGAATCAAGTGGGTGGGACTTAACTGCTAAATACTTACCTCTTTACAAGAAATGAAGAACAGGTTTTTGAGTATTGTGGTGTTCAAAGAATACATTTTATCTTAAGAAAAAAAAGATAAAATATAAACCCCGCCCACCCACCCCATGTCAATTGTGATGATTTTTTTTATTCTTAGAAACTTAAAACACATTTAAAATGGTAAGTTTTTATAGGGAAATACGGATTTTGCAATTAGATTCCGCCCCTCGGTATGACAACGAATCACAATCGAGCTTGCAATGGATATGGGTGGGGCTTAATTTTTGGCTGTTTTTTTTTTGTTAATATACATAGTATTCTTTGAACAACACGAAACTCAAAAACACGTTTTTAATTATTCGTAGAAAAATAAGGATTTTGCAATTAAGGTCCAGCCCTCGGCTTACGACGAATAAAAAAAAATCATCAGAATTGAGATAGGGCGGGTCGGCGGGGCTTATATTTTTTCTTTTTTTTTTTAACATCCACAGCCATCTTTTTACAACAATAAATTAGAACATGATTAAAATGGTACGTTTTTGTAAAAAAATATGGCTTTTGCAATTATGGGCCGAAACCTAATTGCAAAATCGATGTTTCCTTATAGAAATTTTCCATTTTAAACGTGTTTTAAGTTTCATGTTGTGAAAAAAAGTCTACACATTAAAACAAAAAGGCTAAATCAAATCAAAAAAAGATGAGAGATTACGAAAGGAGATGGAAACAAAGGGTATGTTACCAGACGGTCAGGCAAGGTTCAGGAAAGGAAGAGGTACTATGGACAATGTGTACATCCTGCGGCATTTAGTGGGAAGAGAAATAAGGAAAGATGGTCGACGAATGTACATGTTCATAGATTTCAAAGCAGGGTTTGATAGCGTGAATAGAGAGAAAATGTGGGAGTATTTGAGGAGAAAGGGAGTAGATACGTACCTGGTAACGAAAATAGAAGAAATACTTAGATGAAGAAACAGTAAATAAAGTGAGAGTTAATGGAATAGAGAGCGAGAGTTTTTATACAAATAGAGGAGTGAGACAGGGATGCCCACTCAGCCCCGCATTGTTTGCAGCTTATCTAGGAGATATAGGTGAAATGTTCAGAAAAGCACTGACAGGAGGGAGTGCCAAAGAGAAAGTGTGGTCGTTGGCGTACGCAGATGATTTGGTGATTGTGGCAAAGAAAAGAGAAGAAATGAAAACAATGATTAAAAGTTTCGAGAAGTACGTACAAAAAAGCAGTTGGAAGTAAATGTGGAGAAAACAAAAATGGTGGTGTTTGGGGAGAAAGTGAGAAGAGAGAAGGAAGAGTGGGCATGGAGAGGGAAGAAGATTGAACAGGTGAAAGGATTCCAGTACTTAGGATATACATTAAAGAGCAACAACTCATATAGTGCGCAAAGAAATGGTCCGAAAAGCGAACAAAGTGATAGGAATAATATGGGGAATTGGAGAGAGAAAATTTGGACATGATTATAAGAAAAGAATGATGATGTTTGATAGTTTTATCAAAAGTCTGTTTATGTACGGAGAAAAATGGAGAAAATGAGAGTGGAAGCGTGTAAAAGGGCGTTTGGATAAGCAAGAACGCAGATCGAGAATATCGGAGTCTAGATATAGTGCAGAATATAGAAAAATAGTAAAGGATGAAGTAACAAAGTAGACACACAGGTGGAGTATAAAGGAGAAAAGAATGATGGCGAGATTTAGGTGTGGAAATGAAGAGAAAGAGAATAATTGTTGGAAGGATGAAACTGAAAGAAGGTGTAGGATATTTTGGAGAGAAGGAGAAACAAGAGAGCATACATATACTGGAAGAATGTGAAGGATTGAGAGAATCGGAGGAAAGTAGGGAAGAAGTGCTAAACGAGAATGGAAGAGGACTGGCTAAGGCAAGGGGTGGGCAAACAGCAAGAATAGAACAATTATTATTATATAAAACTCGAATATTTATTTTATTGTTTTTTTTTTTATTTATTTGTATTATGTAGATCAAGTTAATTTGTACCCCTATTGGGAATCTTATTAAGCCTGTAAGGCAAATAATAAATTAATATTACATTAATTGTGTACCTACTCTTTATAAAGCTGATGAGGTCATTTTAAAAATTCATGTAACGAATTTTTGTTGTTCTGTTTACTCTGATATAAGTAAAGTTTACTTATGGTATGGTATTTATCCCTCCAGTAATTATTGAGTCATCAAGTCTACAGTTTGAGAAATTACGTAACGAACTTATTCAAATTTTAGTAAATCATTAACACGAGATAGCGATTACAAAACATTATTAACTAAAATTTATATACTTAATACCCTCAGGAAGGCTGACGTCAAGATCAAATTATTATATTTTTTAATATATTCTCAGGTGCAGGCAATGTTTGTTACGTGTCAGTGGCGAGAAAATACATATTCATTTAAAATTTGACCAATTATTTGAAATTATGGTGAATATTTCTAAATAATAATTTATCACTTTTCCCCTCCAGGAAACAAATGAGGTTATCTCAATCTTTTATTATATAAACACCACTTATGAACATTAATTCGTGGTTTTATTATCTATACCAGTTTTCAACTGTGCTAAATGTATTGTGCTAAAAAAATAAACAATTAAAAAATATAATCAGTCCAGTCAATACAATGCCCAGAATTCTCTGAAGCACTATTATTTATTAATAAATCGTAGAACATTGTTTCATAATAATTGTAATGTGTGTTGCGTTACTTACTTTTAGTTACTTTTATGTTAGAATCACTATAGAGATGGAATTAATTGATAGTAAATGATAGAGTGTAGTATTTCGTGGTTTTGTGATACAGTATCGTATATTAAAGGAGATGTAAAACATAAGAATTTGGCAACGAGAAAAAATTGAACGAACAACTCATCGTCTATCGTCGAAATCAACGTGAGAAATAGAAGATATCAAGGTACGACGATCAAGGAAAAAATTAACGAGTGAAAGTGTCAAAAAAAAAGAAATGGCGACCACTGATCAATTAAATAAACTTATCAACGCTATGCTAGGCATGGCAGCAGCTCTCCAACAACAGCAAGCAGCTTAACAAGAATAACGAAGTGCGCAAGGTGATACCACCATCAATAGTCTGTCAAATTTCGACACTTTTGACGTAAAAAAGGAAACATTTAAAAATTACAAAGAAAGACTCGACCTTCATTTTCAAGTCAAAGGTTACCTAACCAAACTTCTTGAAGATCATTTTTGTCCGAAAAAGAACCCTCTTGTCAAGCAACACAAGTTTCTGTCCATATATCATCAAGAAAATGAATCCATTGCCGAATATCTTGGTACACTCCGTCAAGGTATCGCAGATTGTAATTCCGTCTGTGACTGTGGAAAGTCTATTGCTGATACATTTCTACGTGCGCAATTTATACGTGGAATTTGCGACAATTCGATGCGACAGCAATTACTACAAAACTCGAAACTCACATTCGATGAAATTATTAATAAAGTGCTAACCTACGAAGCATCAAAAATAGCTAGTAATGAAATTTCAACTCAAAACCTATCGACTGCGACATCAATCAATAAAGTATCAACTAAGTCTTCAAATCATTGTAGCAGTGGTAGAAGTTGCAACGATAACCATTCTAATAATTCCAAATATCGTTATCGATCTAAATCCAAAATAAATTACAGACATCTCGGTACCAACAACTTGTGTCTACGTTGTGGTCGAAATAATCATCTAGCCAAAGAATGCAGAATAAATCCAAATAATCTTAAATGTCAATCTTGTAATAGAACAGGACATGTTCAACGCATAAGTATCCAGTCATTATTAAAACAAAAATCAAAGAAAAATGTTCAAGCCATTCAAGATACTGATAATTCAATTGAAACAGAATACTATTCAAATCAAGATCTACACAGTATAAATGAAGTAGTCGATATTTACAAAAACAATCAAACAGATGCTCAAAAATACTTCACAGATGTATATATTGATGGTAAAATCCAAACTTTTGAAGTAGACTCTGGTGCAGGCTACACTCTTCTACCTGAAGCTGACTTCCACCGTCTACACTTGAACATTCCGCTTAAAATATCACGCACTGGATTTCGATCATACACTGGAGAGATCTTTGCTTCCTCCGGTACAGTTAATGTTATAGTAGAATACCAAGTGCGAAAATCCAACGAAGAAATGTACATCGTTTCATCAAAGTACTCTCCATTGTTAGGACGCAGGTGGATCCGTCATTTGGGAATAAACCTTCAAGACTTGGATAATACGAAAATTTTTTCATCGAAAACTGATCACCCTGTGCCCAACCTTGAATCTACTTATGAAATTATTTCAAAGTATTCTGAAATCTTCCAGCCCATAGTGGGATGTATTCCTAACGTAACCTGTTCCCTAAAACTAAGAGAAAAATCGAAACCTACCTTTTTAAAAGAACGACAAGTTCCATACACTCTCCAGGAAGCCGTCAAAAAAGAACTTGACAATCTAGAAGGAGACAACATCATCACCGGAGTGGACACCAGCGGCTGGGGATCTCCCCTTGTGGTAATTCCAAAACCCGATGGCACCGTAAGACTTTGTGTCGATTACAAAATAGCAGTAAACCCGCAACTGACATCTGCCCACTACCCAATCCGAAGAATCGACAATATCCTGAACAATCTAAAAGACTCAGCTTATTTTTGTCGCCTCGACCTCTCCAAAGCCTACCTGCACGTAAAAGTCGAAGAAGAAAGCAGAGCAATACAGACTATTTCGGCCCACCGAGGAATATATCAAATGAACAGACCCTTCTTCGGAATCAAAACAGCACCGAGCGAATTTAATAGAATACTCGATCAGATTCTTCAAGGACTCGAAGGAACTTTATCATATTTCGACGATATAATCATTCATGGGTCGTCACTCGAAGACTGCAAGAAAAGACTTATCAACTGCTTCGAACGATTAAAAACTTATAATCTCCAGATCAACAGAGGAAAATGCGACTTTTTCAAGAAAGAAATTCAATATCTAGGTATTATCATCAGTTATAATCAAATATCAAATATACCCAGTAAACACAGTTGTGATCTTGACCTGACAGGTACGTACTCACAAAAGAACAATAAGTACATCGCATCATTATGTCTTAACGATATACCTGGAACGTAAGCTATATAACATCACAATTGAGTACTCATGCTATGTAACCAACACGTAATGTTGACTACATTTACTAGATATCTTATTATTATGTCGCAGCAATATAGTTGGCAGGTAGGCCTCGTAACATCACAATGGAGTACTACGGTTATGTAACCAATAAGTAATGTTAACTGTAGTTACTAGATATCTGATTAATATATATATATATATATATATATACATGCTTCGGAATGTTTTATTTTTATTAGTTAATTATGTAAAGTGTTTTTCAGTTCATTTTACAAAATGGCATGTTAAATCGAAAATTAACGTTTCTGACAGGGCAACAGCAAAAAACATTTAAAAATATACATATCGAGTATTATAAAGCTCTATTTTATATTTATTATTTATGTTTGTGTTGCAAGTAAATAGTATATTCATAAACAAAAGATGCTGAGTCTTAAAAAAAGAAATTTCTTCCCTGTCTTAAATCTTGCACAAGCGAGATGACGCCAATAGTGAGTTTCTCTTATTTTTTTTTTTTTCATATTATATTTCCTGTAATTACATTTATTTATAATTTTATTTTTATACGTCCATAACGACCTGCGCTTTATAAAACAGAACAAGAGACTTAATGCACATAGTTTATGATCAGAATTAAAAAATGTCCCAGATGGGATGTTAGATAACGGGTAATATGAATTAAGACTAGTAATGAGACATTATTTTTTAACCTCTGCCTATGCGTCACTGCCAAAAAGGACCAATTATACATATACAGAATTTTGAAATGAGCTCGAAAAATAAAATGATATATTTCATTATTTTATTAATTCTAATGCGAAATATGTTGATCGGCAACAAAAGCAACATAAAGAAAAAAATCGAAATTAAAAAACTAATCTATTTCAAGGTCAGCGATATCGTTCTTAAATAAAAATGAATTAAACAATTTCTTCACTTTGATCGTAAGGAAAATAAATAATAATTTGAATTCGAAACAATAATTGATCATCGAGTTTTGTGTATTCACTTTCGCACTCTGTTATAGGTTTATCTGTTTAACATTAAATTTTCAAAAGTTTAGATTTTTCCAATGTAATCTTGGGCTCTAAAATAAACTGGTAATGTATAATGTATAATTATAATTGAGTATTTTCGTGGTTGATCTTTAAATTATTATTTATTCAAAAAATTCACTTATTTTCATATCCAATATGTAGCTAACTGAAAACTAATAATAAAGCAGCAGATATGACGAAATAGTGTAGACTTTTTTTAATGTCGGTAATAGAGTGTATGTATAATAACTAGAGAGCGGAAAATATGCAGCAAAATTTTGGGAAATATGATCATATGATATGCATCAAATTTATGCAAATATGCAATAACTTTCTTAATATATGCAGAGATATGCAGTTGCATATGCTCCAAAAATAAAAAAAAGCGTAATAACCGAACTAAATTTATTTACAAATTGCAAAAACACCTTACCTTTTATTACAAAAAATACATAAATCACATTTCAAAGTGTTTAGTTAGATCTCACTGACAAATAAATGACATTTTTTAAGATAATATTTTTTTATACTAAAAAATAAATATAAGTAAACAGAACGAATTAAAAAATAGTAGTAATCGACTATTAAATTACTATTTTGGTAACAATTTATTTTTAAATATTTTGCGAAATATTCTAACAAAAATTTTTCCGGTGATTCTAAAGTATGGATTTGTAAACAGAAAAACTGCGTACTGCGTCCACAGATGTAAAAATACTTATCGGAGTAAAGCAGGCACAACAAAACACAGTTCCTTCTTGAAGAATAAGTTCAGGAAAAAATTCATAAATTAATTTGAGTTATCTACATTTTGACACACATCTCTATCGCTTAAAATACTTGAATGCAAACTCATGATGAAAAATAATAGAATAACGTCCCTTCGACCACCATAAAACCTACCATTAATACATTTAAGTAACGAACAAAAATATTGAAATGAACGGTATTTCCAAAAGTAATTAGGACCCGAATTTACCTGGAAGGATGGCTTAACACCCAGTGGTTCCTCCAAACTACCATAAAACCCAAACCTTTCCCAGTTATTTGAAGCTTAGGACAATATTTGCAATATGATTCGTGAAATTTCGTCTTTCTAGAAAAATGCCGATCGAATGGCAATTTTTTTTTCAAAGTTGCACAAAAATTGATAAAAATGCAATATATGCAAATATGCAATTTTTTATAGCTGTATTCCTTTTTAATTAGCATGATTCGTTCACATATTAAATATCAACACTTATATGCAAAAAATAACGGATATGCAAATTTCATAAAATCCGTTCTCTAATAATAACCAATACATCGGGTATGTTTCTGTTTTTGTCTTCGTTCAACACCACTGTATTTACAGTATTTAAGCAGGTATACGTTTCCGCCCCTAAAATCCCACGTACGGCATCCTTTGCCCACGTAAATACAGTATCTGGAATGAAGACAGAAACAGAAATAGATTTACAACACCTTATCAAAATTTAAAAAAACCACTATGGTATTATTTGAAATTTATTGTTAAAGATTATATGGTCAATTAGATGTGGGTAATTCTATAAAAAGTGACCTTCGTCAGTGAGTTCGTAATGCTTAATTAATAATTATATTCAGAGCGAAAAATACAACGGCTTTATTAGAAATACACCAAAGACAAGTTTTTTTCATTGTAATAATTTCTAAGAATTATTTCTGTAAACTTGTTCACTTGAAATGTTATTTTGTAAGTGCCTGCTTGGCAAATTATAAATAGGACATCTGTAAGGTGACCAGATTTCAAAAGTCCGAAATCGGAACTGTAGTTTCCACTTCCATCGTAATCTGATATATAACTGCTTTGAAAATTTTTAGTTGTAATATACTAACAGTACTGACATCTGCTGACATTTAAAACATTGCTAACAACCGTATCGATACAAGTTTTGTTCCCAATTTTTCAGAAAATAAAATTACTATTCATGAAAATTAGTGATTTATCCGAGGATTTATCTTTATTCTTATCAGATTTATAGAAATCGGAACATTCACGGAACGAATGTTTTAATCGGAACATTTATTGGACGAAATTTGAAATCGGAATTAGAGTATTGAAATCGGTACAGTTCCGATCAAATCGGAACGTCTGGTCACCTTAAACATCTGGGGTAATATAAGGAAGACCCAACGACACAAACAAAGCCATAAAAATTCTTTGCCCATTGTCCCTGAAACGGGACAAGGTTTTGAAGAGTTCATTCGTCGAATTTTGATTTTATAAAGACGTTTATAAAGCGATGATGGGTAGCAAAAAAATTAGAGAGTGGTTAATTTTGATTTTATTAAATTTATTTCATCTAATGAAAAAATAACGCTCAAATTCTGTATTTACTATCCACCAGATGTTTGGGGGGTGCAGTCGGACCTTTGTTGGTTTGGTTTGTCTATGAGTCGGACGATCCCTTTTTTCCGTATTTATGGTTATTGCACTTCAGACTCACAGTGAAGCTGTCGAATTCCATTTGGCCATTTGGTTCACAACCACCGAACCTTTCTCGTGAATCCGTAACTCACTTCATTTTTATGCAGTTTTGTGAAAATTGTGCCATTCAGTGTGGGTTGTATTTACACTAGGTAAGTTAATATAATTCCAATGAAGTAATCATTTTAATTTTTACATGCTTCTGTTGTTTTTGATAACTGGACGTAAATAACAACAGTTTTTTCAGATAAGCTGGAAATACCACCATTAATCACTGAAGATACTCCCGCTGATTTTGAAGAACTTCGGTGATTGTCTTTGAAAGTGAGGCGCTTTGCCATAACATGTTGCAAAGGTATGTTACTGCAATTTTTTATGAACTAGGTGCTAATGAACATAATTTTACTCTAGACTTGAAACAAATACAAAAAATATGTGCGAAACAAAAGAAATTCTAAAGGAAACGAGTGAACAAATCTCCAATATGAAAACGTCATCAAATGTGACAAATCAAAAAGAAAACAGTAATAGAAGATATGCCGCCAAGACCACAGGTAAACAAATTTTGAGGAATTAGAAGATTATCTCTGCCTACTACAAGAAGCAGGTTTCTTTGTAAGTTAAAAAAATACAATAAATTTATATGTACTTACATATAACATAATTTTGGATATTATATACAGGTAGATGCCTGTAATACTATAACACTTTTTAGGAACCTACTAAACATGACACATTTCGCTTAACACGTTACATACATAGTGGGTTGCAGAAAAGTCTTATAGTGAAGCACCCTGTATGTTATACATACGCGGCGACTTCCAAATAGATTCGGAGAAAAAATCCTTTAATTGTCACACGGATTCAAAGTAATTAAATTGCTGCTCCAGTTTTAAGAAACAAATGCGGAACATCTAGTTAAATGTCAATGATGCGGCAATGATTTATTCGGTTTCCATTGTGACTAAATTTTTTCTCTCCATATCCATATCCCTAAATGATACATATAAATGGTAACTAGACTTTTTGAAATGCCTATTCATATCGCATAGATCATGTTAATAAAATACAGGATTAGTCACGAGAGAATTACTTCTGAAAATTATTTTTACGCAACCCAAAATACGAATACCATGTACCATTTGATACTAACTGAATTTAAAATGAAATGCTTAATCCATGATTGCTTTGAGTTTGACAATCTCATTTTGACAATTGTGGAAAAAGAGGTTACGCGAGTGTCCATGGTGGTACCGCAGCCAGTCGGAAATCTCCACCGGCGCCGCTAATAAATTTGTCAGCGTGCCTCTTTATCTTTTGCAACCGATTAATCACGAGAAAATTATTTCTAAAAATTCCTTTTATGGCATTTTATTCAAAGGTTACAACACAAACTCAAACAAGTAAGTAAATAATTTAACTACTAATCTGTTGAAAATGTTGGGCATTTTGGGGGGATGCTACGGCTTTTTTGTAAATGGATGGCCGAAGAAGTCCAGAGGTTGTAGATT